CTTTTCATATGTGATTTCTAAAGCTATGAACCTAAGATTATTCAGTTTACTGTTGTAATATCTAAAGTTTAGGCCTATATAAAGGCAGAACCTTCCTTTGTTAGATGAGCTGAATTTAGACAGATCATTTCCTCAGCTCCTGGCTGTAATAAACTTGGGTATTCGGTATTCAGATCTGTTTCCCACGGCTTTTCCTGCTACATTTTGACACCAAACAAAATATAACCATGTTGTTTTTGTTTAGAATATTAGTATAAATAAAGCTGATGTGCATTTTGCATTATTCTAACATCAGGAGAGATTTTAAGAATTTTCTTACAACGTCCCATAAATTAATCTCCATTAACAATCTCATATTTCATTTATTATTGAATTAATGAAGTTTATTATTTATCTGAGGGCTGCCATATCATCCATTCACTTATACATGAATTTGTTCATTCAACAAATATTTGTTGAACACCTACTACATAAAAAACACCCTGCAGGAGATTAAGTAGGTAACACTAGGCAAACACAGACATGACCATGTCCTCACAGAGTTTACAGTCTAGAGAATTTCTTTTTTAGAAAAGAGTCTGAATTCAGGCCCTGCATTATAGAGGTATTCCTACAAGGAAAGGCACACATTTCTATAGGTACAGAGTGGGATGACATGACCTGTGTAAATTTAGGATATTGGAGAGAATGTTAGAGAAAACAAAACATAGTAATGAGGATCATGGCGGCAGGTATTTAAAGGGAGCTTGTGTGAAGAAAATCTATTTATCTAGATGGTGATCCTATGGTGGAAGATGAGTATCCATGAGTATCATTTCATCTTTAACCAATCAGAAATCATTCCTACTTTCTTACTGAAGGTCTTTTTTTCTCTCTTTCACTTGCATTCTCACATTTACATTCCATCTAAGTCTCCAAATCATAAAGCTTCAAAAGGTCACACTCTATATAGGGGAGGCAGGTACACATTTTAACATATCCTGCAGAAAATAGGTTACATCAGTATTACTGATTTTATGGAGGAGATAATACATAGCAAAATTGTGTGTGTGTGTGTGTGTGTGTGTGTGTGTGTGTGTGTGTGTGTTTTAACTCAATAAAATCTTATTTCTTGCTTTGGATCCAGTTTAGGTCAGCAAGGTGTTTCAGCACCTGTGGTCAGTCATTCAGAGACCCCACTCCCAACCCCCACACACCACCACAACTTTTTTTTTTTTTTTTTTTTTTTTGAGACGGAGTTTCGCTCTTGTTATCCAGGCTGGAGTGCAATGGCACGATCTCAGCTCACCGCAACCTCCGCCTCCTGGGTTCAGGCAATTCTCCTGCCTCAGCCTCCTGAGTAGCTGGGATTACAGGCACGCGCCACCATGCCCAGCTGATTTTTTGTATTTTTAGTAGAGACGGGGTTTCACCATGTTGACCAGGATGGTCTCGATCTCTCGACCTCGTGATCCACCTGCCTCGGCCTCCCAAAGTGCTGGGATTACAGGCTTGAGCCACCGCGCCCGGCCTACCACCACAACTTTTAATTCATGATCTTAGGTTTTTCTGGCATCTAGCTGGTGAATACAGAGAGAGAAGGTGAATATAGCACCAGTGTTTTTCACTGCCTTGGCCTGGAGGTAATACTTATCACTTCCATTCACGGTCCTTTGATGAGAACTGGCTCTGTAGCTCCATCCAGGTGGAACAGGGGTGGAATATATAGTACAGCTGTATACCCAAGTAGATAATAAGTCTGGCGAGGAGCTAGCTCATCTGCTTCAGTCAGTCTCCTCATTTAAAAATGGGAGTAATAGCTGCTGCCTCACAAGGTTGTTTTGAGGGAACAAAGTGCTTAGCACAGTGCCTCATCCATAGTAAGTGGCTCAATAAGCACAGCAAAGACTTCAGACATCCATAAACAAATATCCACTCAGAATTAATGCCTTTGTGGCATTCTACTCTTTCAAATCTTTTAAGAGCTTCCCATTTTCTTTGAATAAAAAATAAGTTATTGACCAGACTCTCTAACATCTGGCTCCTGCCTTCATTCCCAGTCTCGTTTTTGCCCTCATTCATCCTTCACTCATATAATCCAGCTTACACTGGCCTTTCTATGGTTCTGAGACCACCCTGTTTCTCACTGTAGATTCCATGGTCCCCTCTGCCTGAAATGCTTGTGCCCCAGCTGTTCACATGAGTGATTCACTCTCATCTGCCAGGTCTCATCTCAGGTATCACTTCCTCAGAGGCCTGTCCTGACCGTCCTATCCAAAGTGGCTTCCTCCCTATCTCGTCTTCTCTTGTTTTTGTTGCCGCAATCTGTAATACTCTTCTTTTTAAATTTATATTTCTTTATTAATTGAAGCAATTAATATAAGAGAAATAGAGATGGGGTCTCACTATGTTGACGAGACTGGTCCCGAGCTCCTAGGTTCAAGGTATCCTTCCATCCTGGCCTCCCAAAGTGCTAGGATGACAGGTGTGAGGCTGTAATGTTCTTCTCTATTTGTTTACTCGTTCATGGTCTTTCTTTTCCATCAGAGCTGCTGGATCTTGGAAGCCAGGGGCTTTGTCTGTTTACTGACTTATCTTCTGAAATGAGAGCTGAGCAAACCATATAGTAGGCGTTAAATACTTGATGACCGACTGATGAATGAACAATTTTAAGATAAACTGGATATGTTCTCTTTGGGTCTCTCACATTATCTAACAACATACACTTCCCTATTATTATTTCCATATTCCCTTCTAGGTAGTGTTTTAGCTCTAGCCTTCCCTCTCAGCCAAGCTTCTTGAAAGCACAGTTTACACCCAATGCCACCTCCTTTCACTCCTGAACATATCTTCCTCTGGCTTCTGCCCCTTCCTACCATTCCACAGAAATTATTCGTGTTATGGGCATCCAATTTACCAAATCCAATGCCTGCTTCTTGGTGGTTACCTTACCTCACTTGTTTGCCTAATGCTGTTGAGTAGTCCTTCTTCTCGAAACTCTTCTGCTTTGACTTCATATTCCTAAAGATACCAGTGTATAGCAGTGGTTTTCAACTGGGAATAGTTTTGCTGGGAGGGGGTGCTATTGGCATCTAGTTGGTAGAAGCCAGGACTGCTACTAAACATACATTTGCCTTAGGCAAAGAATGATCTGGCCCAAAATATCCATAGTGCAAAGGCTAAGATACCCTGGTTAACAGGATGTTTTGCAGATACTTTATGAACAACATGGTCATGATCAGAAATAAATCACTACCTCTTTTCTCACCTACTCACTTATTACTTGTTATTCCTATTCTGATTAATGGCACTTGTCTTATAAACCAGTATCTTGAAAATCATTTTTAATTCTTCTCTCTCCCTTATCAAGCCCATGTATTAGTCACGAATTCCCTTTTGATTCTATCACCTAAATATCTTTAATCCTTTCTTTCCCCTCAGCTACCACTGCCTTTTGCAAGAATCCCCTAAATGGACTCCCTGCTTTGAGTCTCACAAACACCTCCAACTCATCTTTCTAAAATGGAAGCTTGATCACATTTCTCCTATTGCCTACAAGATAAAGGTTTAGCTTCCAGGTCTTATTTATCATGCATACCATGTGTTTTATTATCTACAGATATGTGTTCTGTCACTATTCTTCCTAATCTCCTTCTAGCCTAAACAAAACACCAAGAAACAAAAAACTAGAAAAACAAAACAAAAACCTTGATGTATCTATCACACTTCTTTCTATTGGACATGATATTCCTCCGTTTTGTAATGTCCTCCCACTAGGGTCCCAACCAGGCCCTCCTGAAAATTTCCTTCCTGAAAAATTCTCTCAAATTCTACTCTGTGCATGCACATATTTCTGTTGGGACACCTATTTCACACGTACTATCTCAGGCAGAAAATCCCCAAACTGAAATGTATAGGCCATGTACTTTTATTCTACTGCGGTTTAAAAATTTTGAATTCCTTATCTATGAGCTTGAAAATCCCAATTAAATTCATGGTCTTTCCCTCTTGACCCTGCGTTGTGGTTAAATTCTTGGGGAGTCTTCACAGTACCTAAGTTTTGGAGAAGATGCAGGCACCCACCCTCATTTCTCCTTCAGATTTTGGTATCCTCTTCCCAGTATCTGTGTGTTGTTGGCACATTTTTCTATCGTTTTGCTTTTAGAGCCACACTGGAGCTTGAGAATCTGAGGCTTTCTGTAGTTTTCCCGTACACAGAATCATTCCTTCTTTGGAGTCCTGCTACCTACTCCAGACTACTTGGAATGCAGACATTTGCTATTACTCTGGGACCCAGGGGTATTCCCTTTCTCTTAATCTCATTAATATTTCACTTCAGAAGCATTTCCTGTCTTGTGAAATTTTTCTCAGAGGCTTCTTAAAGCGGTTTAGATTGCTAATGGATTTAGTCACATGGAAGCCAAGGACTTCCAAATTCTCTATGTTGAGTCCTGTCCCATCCCAATACCTGAGGCAGGGTGAAAAATATAAATGACCATCGTTCCTAAATCTAACAGCTCAATGTATACACCAGAGGAGCTTTAAAAATTGAGACGCTCCCACGCACCATTCTACAGCATCAGAATTTGTTTTTTTTTTAGCGATCACAGAAGATAAAGACAGAATTCTTCCTGTACTCTGTCTTCTAATTTTTTTTCCCAGTAATCCTCCCTCCCCTTCTTCTTCTTTGGCCCTTCCCTCCCCGCCCAGTCTTACTCAGCACACCTGCACTGGCCTTTCAGCGCCCCGCCCCGCCCCGCGTTTCCCGCTCCCCACGCTCCGTCCCGCCCCGCCCCGTCCCGCGTTTCCCACCCCGTCCCGCGTTTCCCACCCCGTCCGCGTTTCCCACCCCGCCCGCGTTTCCCACCCGGCCCCGCGTTTCCCACCTCCCAGCCGCTCTCCATTTCCGCCCCTCCTCTTCCGCTCGTATCTCCCAGCCCTCCCCCTCTCCTGCCCTCCCCGCCCCCTCTTCCGCTCTACGTCCCTCCTCACCCTTGCGCACTGTCTTCGACCCGCTGCTTCCGGCGGCTTGGGCTTACGTTTACCTTGCGCCGGAAAGAGAACTTGTGAACGCTCTCGGAATTATGGCGGCGGTGGATATTCGAGGTATATTGTATTGTTATACTTTGTCTCTTGATTGTCTGTGGGCTGGTTTGGCATGTTATAGCTCGCAGGCTCATGGTTCAGGTTCCTTTGTGTTAGGTCTCAAGCTTTTCTTAGTGTTTTTTGTGGACGACCTAAGGCTGTGATCTAGTTAAACGCTGATGAGTTTTTCCAAGTTCTTGGAGCGTCTCTTGGAAGCTCAGGAGAGAAGGGATTGGAAGCAACTCTGGGCTTTGAGTCTTCAGAGCGGGAGTATTCTACACGCGTATCTCTGCAACAACAGAGCTATTCTGTTGGGGTGAAGGAATGGCCTTTGGGAGTGGGGTAATGAGCCAACTTGATTTGATTCATGTCTTGGGACTTGGCATGGTGACTCCCTAATACGATCGCGCCCCACGAGTTCCTGGGCATGAATCCCAAATGTTTTCTGTTGTAAAGTTTATTTTTGAGTCGATAATACTTGACATCGAACATCCATCAATTATTACGGGGTCGTATCTTTTTGACACCTGAGCTATAGAGGTGCTCAAATATTTAATCAATCAGTGAATAAATATGGAGATGCCACCCATTAATGATCTTGGGGAGCATGTAGAGTTGTTTTTGTTCGTATATACAGTACTTGATTTTTTTTTTTTTTTTTTTTTTTTTTTGAGATGGAGTTTCGCTCTTGTTACCCAGGCTGGAGTGCAATGGCGCGATCTCGGCTCACCGCAACCTCCGCCTCCTGGGTTCAGGCAATTCTCCTGCCTCAGCCTCCTGAGTAGCTGGGATTACAGGCACGTGCCACCATGCCCAGCTAATTTTTTGTATTTTTAGTAGAGACGGGATTTCACCATGTTGACCAGGATGGTCTCGATCTCTCGACCTTTTGATCCACCTGCCTCGGCCTCCCAAAGTGCTGGGATTACAGGCTTGAGCCACCGCGCCCGGCCTACAGTACTTGATTTTTAAAGGGAAGTGTTTGAGATGCTGTACCTTTTTCTTCTCTTTCTTTTTCTTTTTTTTTTTTTTTGAGACGGAGTTTCGCTCTTGTTACCTAGGTTGGAGTGTGACAGCACGATCTTGGCTCCACGCAACCTCCAACTCCCGGGTTCAAGCGATTCACTTGCCTCAGCCTTCCAAGTAGCTGGGATTACAGGTGTGCGCCACCATGCCGGGCTAATTTTATATTTTTAGTAGAGACAGGTTTCTCCACGTTGGTCAGGCTGGCCTCGAACTCCTGACCTCAGGTGGTCTGCCCGCCTCGGCCTCTCAAAATGCTGGCTCACGCCACTGCGCCCGATCTGAGGCACCTTTTTCTATATTAACTGGATTGGGGTCTAGCACATTTATTACAAACATTCTCAATTTATAGTTATCCGGTGATCTTAAACACTTCTGGATCACGAGTTTACATACCTTTCTTTCATTATAAGTCGGAGTTTAAAATGCCTAATTTCATCCTTGCCGATTGTTAGAATGCTGTTAGACTGCTTGGGCTATGTCAACATGTTGCCTTGCTACAAAATAAAAAAGAGAAACATTTAGTATATCAGACTATTTTCAAATACTTGTATAATTTTTTACTTACAATTTAGATTTGTTGGGATCATGGTAAAGACTCTAAGATTAGTGTGTTTGGTGTGTTAAAGGAACAGCAAGGAGGCCAATGTGGCTGGAGGGAAATGAGAGAGGATGTGGGAAGGAGAAGAGGTCAGAAACATGTTGAAAGCCATGATAAGGTCTTTGGCTTCTCCTCTGAATAAAATGAAGAGCCATTGGAGGGTTTCCATCAGAGGAGTGATGTGATATGATTTTTTTTAGGAATACGTTGGCTGCTGGGAACAGTGTAAGAGAGCAAGGGTAGAATTAAGGAAACCAGTTAGGAGACCCATTTCGATAATGCATGGAGGTTTGGACATAGCTTGGACTAAAGTGATAACAACAGAGATGGTAGAAAGTGGTTAGAATCTGCCTGACTTGGTAGTGTATTCTTTTTATGGGGCTGGGCTCACAGATAATCTCCAAGTGCAACAGATAATTTCATTTTCATAGCTGTAGACCATAACTCTTACCTCATCTCTTACGTAACTCTTACCATAACTCTTACCTCTTAACCATTTTCTAGAAAAATATTCTTGGAGACTTGAGTTTATAAATGGATTGAGAAAAATCACTGACCAATGTAGTACTTGTACTTAGTCCTCAATCATGAATTAATCAACATTTGCTGGTTATTTTAAATCAGGTCCTGTATTGGTTTCTGATGAGTAAGACACAGCCCCAGTTCTCTAAAAACTCATAATTTAATGGGAAGTTGCTTGTGCTTCTAGGTTATGGAAATAAAAGTGTATAAAGATTGCTATGAGAACATAGAGAAAGAAGCCACCACCAACACCATCGTCATCCCAAGTAGTATTTATTGGGTTATTACAATGTGCTAAGCATTTTACATATGTAACCTTAGTATGTAGATACTATTATGATCCCATTTTATAGATGAGGAAACCAAGGCACAAGGAGATTAACTTGCTGAAGTTTTATTTCCTTGTGCCATTCTGCTATGTGATGGATAATTGTGGGCAGTGAAGTGAGAATCTAGTGTAGCTAGATTGTGAAATGCCATATTAAGGAATTTGGTTCTTAATCTTTTGGACAGTAAGTGTGCACCACCATTCTTGCAGTAAGCTGTGACATAGTTTGATTATTTTGCAAGCATAGCATAATTAAGGCCAAATAGGATTGAGGGAAGACTTAGAGTCAGGGAGCCCAATAGGAAGCTGTTGTCTGAGTGACATTTGGAAGATTAAATAAATAACAGTGGCAATAGGGATGAAGAAGAGGAAATGTATTTTATGAGACTGCATCCTCTAGAACAGTGCTCATTGTTCTGTGGTCTTCAAATTTATAGTAGGACCTCTGGCTTCTCTCACAAGTTCTTAATATCTCTGTAGTGGGCATTTTCATTTTGAGCCAGTGTAGTGTGTACGACTGTGATCTGTAGAGTTAGGATACCCGGATTCAGATCTCAGCTCCACCATTTAGTAGCTCTGTGACCTTGGACAAGTTACTTAGCCTTCCCGTGCTTTAGATTCTTCATGTGTAAAATAGTAATATACTACCAAACTCTTTGAGTTATTGTGTGGTAAAGTGATTAGAACAGGGCCAGGCACAAAGTCAGTGTTCAAAAATGAGAAATAGGATTATTTCCATTTGCATTGGTTTTATATGTCATATATGTCTCACTTTTCCTCTTTGAATTAGTTTACTAGACAATTAAAATAGGTTAGAAATAAATACTGATGAAGAGTTTTGTAAGTATGGAAACAGCTTTGTAAAGAAAACTTACAGGGAGAATTTACTGAAGTCACATGGAGCAGATGACATTTAAGATTCCTTCTAATTCTGAGAGTCTGATTCCATACCTAAACTCAATCTATCCAAGACACATTCATTATCATCATGTCCCTAAATGAATCTATTAACTCCCCGTAATTGTTTTAATTGTTTGTAGGTAGGATCTATAATTACACATTTATTTGTTTTTGTGGATTATTCCACCCCTGCTGAAATTATGTTGTTAACACTATTATCAATAATTGATTAGGGCACTATATAGACATAGTGTCCTGTGAAAAACAAACCGAAACTGTCCTTCTAGAAATACTTTTTAATATAATCATGCCTAAGGAAATAAATGTATAAGTAGTTTTACTGTAAAATAAACCTATGTTAATAATTGCACTGTAGTATTTAAAGCTGAGAATGATGCTTGTCTTTAGTTGCTTTTCATTACAAAGACTCTTTCCAAAATCTTATTTCCTGGTCTGTTGTGTATTTGGTTATTGCATGATCCAGTTATGATGGACCATGTAAATGATCTGTACTAATTATTTGGTTATTAATATACTTTATCTGTCTCCTGCTGTATAGCACATAAAGTATATTTTACCTTTATATAATTTTTCTCAGTTGAGTCATTTTGCTCAAAACTGCTTGCCACCTTGAATTAGGTCTGACTTCTTTGAAGATGTCGGAGGTAATAATAGGATAAGAGAGACTGAAGGTTTTCAACCAGTATCGTATAGGTATTTTGATGTTCATGATTTGCACCTAGTGGTGTTCAGTACAGTCAGTGGTGTGAAGTATTACTGAAGCCATTAGCCAATAAAAGCTCATTTATTAAAAGTATCTAGCTCTATTTATCATGTCTTTTTAAAGGCTATGATTTAATTCTACTCTAAATGTGAAACTGTCACTGTAGTTAAGGGCATTCTACTTCCTGTTTATCCCTTAGCTTTTACATCATTATCACCTCATCTACAATAATAGCTTCCTAACTTCTCTATACCTAATTGAGAGATCTTAAACTAGTGACTATGGATGTGTTCTCTTTTGCATTCATGTTGTTTGAAAATTTTGAATTCCTTGCCAGCATATAAGGATTTCCAATTAAATCCTTTCTAAATTTTAAATCTTATCACTTCTTTACCTAATGAAATTATTCTCTAAAGATATAATATGCTTTATATTTTTACGCTTCTGTATATACATTCTCTCTGCTTGGAATTACTTTGCCTTTTTCTCTATGTAAGTTTCTATTTATTCTTTAACATATTATGCTAAAACCCACCTTCTCACCCCATGAAAAATCATTTTCATTCCCTCAGGTAAATTATTCTGCTCCTTCCTGTGTAGTCTCATAACACATTTCTTCATATCTTTTTTTTTTTGAGACAGTCTCGCTCTGTCACCCAGGCAGGGGTGCAATGGCGAGATCTCGGCTCACTACACCTCTGCCTCCCGGGGCCAAGCGATTCTCCTCCTTCAGCCTCCCAAGTAGCTGGGATTACGGCATCTGCCACCATGCCCAGCTAATTTTTTGTATTTTTAGTAGAGATGGGGTTTCACTGTGTCTTTATTATAACGCTTACATCATGTTATTGCTTTCTTGAATAATCTCTTCTGTTACATCATGAGAGTGTGGTGGTTAGGATCCGTGTCATCCTTATATTCATAGTGCCTGCTACATTAGATGTATTATAAATGCTTGTTGGATTGAATTCTTTCTTTTTTTCTAATCCTTTATCATTTTGTTTTCTTTCCTGTAGACAATCTGCTGGGAATTTCTTGGGTTGACAGCTCTTGGATCCCTATTTTGAACAGTGGTAGTGTCTTGGATTACTTTTCAGAAAGAAGTAATCCTTTTTATGACAGAACATGTAATAATGAAGTGGTCAAAATGCAGAGGCTGACATTAGAACACTTGAAGTAAGTTATTTTAAGAAGGTAGCATTTTTACCAAATACAAGTTTTGCAATGAACAGTTCTTTCAAGCTGGGGATCATGAAGTGCGGGGTAGAACTTTTAGAAGAAAAACTGGAGTTTTGTTTGGGTTTGTACAAATTTGACATGCAAGGTAATTATTAGTATTCACTTTTAACGGAGGCCTTTTCTGTATAACTTCATAATGTTTACTTTAAATGTAACAAGTTTTGATTTTGATCTGATGAGTGATTTTGGCAATGCTACTGTTATTCTCAACCAAGGAACTGTAATTATTGTCTCTTCTATATCTATTTTATATTATAAAAGTATTTGAAACAACTGTTGATTCAGTTTTCCTGTTGTCAGGTAAATATTGAGGAGGGGCTTATAAAATTAAATTTATGTCGTATTTTAAATGGCTTTTGTTATGGGGCAAATACTGCTATTGGGACAACTTATTGTTGCTTTTAAACATAATCTGTCAGGTAAAAAAAATTGTTGGGGTGAGGAAAAAGTTTTTGATGTTTTCTAGTTTGGTAGTATATATAGTCTTCATGATTATTTTTATATTTTGTATGTATTTATAGATTTAGTCAGGAAGCATCATGGCATTTTGGTTGCCTTTTTGAAATGGACACTCTTCGGTGTACTTTCCTGACTGAAAATACTCAGATTTAAATTTATAACACATTTTTGTAGAGAAATTTTGTTGTTTAAAAACAAATCTTACTTTATCTATATGCCACCTGTCGGGGAAAATAGCCAGTTTTACTCAACAGCCAGATTATAACACCAAACAAAGGCAGTTTTAATGCTATTTAGTGTTCCCAAATTTTTATATAATAATTTGAATGTCATATGAAATTATTGTAGGGCATTTATAGATCTTTGGATATCTGTGTTGTGTTTTCAGTCAGATGGTTGGAATCGAGTACATCCTTTTACATGCTCAGGAGCCCATTCTTTTCATCATTCGAAAGCAACAGCGGCAGTCCCCTGCTCAAGGTAAAAATGTGTAAACTTTAGGCATTGTTTTCTTTTTAAAATACCGTGATGTATTTCCTTCCTGACCTAACTTGTTTTTTTGATTGGTTTCTTTTGGGGGGGGGGTCCCCAAGACCACGTACATGTTCAGTACCGTGCTGGAGGACTCACCAGACTTAGCATATGCTTATACTTACAGCTAAGATTTGTTATGGCAGCACAGTAAGGGTACACAGCCAGATTAGTACTGGAAAAAGACATGTCAGTAGGGTCTGTAGGAGTCCATGTGCAAGTTTCCTACGCTTTCCTTCTTGCTTGTGAAGGGCCATACTGAGTGTGCCCTCCATCCAGCATTGAAATGCAGCTGCACTCAATGTGTCTCCTCAGGGAAGTCCATTTGAGCCTCTGAGCCAGGGATTTTTAATGAGGGCTGGTAGCTTGGACATCCTCTGCCTACCAAATTTTTAGATTTTCTAAAAAAAAATCTGGTGTCCACTATAATCACATTGTACAAGTCATCTGCAGAGGCTGGTACAACCCGTATAACTACCATGTAGCAAATGTTTGAAAAGCCAGTTCTACTAGTTTATAGTTGGTTACTGGGACTCTTTCAACATGCCCAAGGACAACTCTTCAAGCACTAACAGTAAGAACAACTCACTGCATCAAAGCTACCTCACAGTTGGGATACCAACTGAACATCAAGCATCCCAAGTAACTTTTTTTTTTGACCTCTGGACTTTTTATTGGCCTCCTGCTTCTCAGAGAGTACACTGCTTCTGATGGCTTAATATCTCAGAACTTTGGTGGTGTTGGTCTCAGATACCACTCTGCCACCTGCTACCTGATGGGTGGTGGTTTTTTGGATGGTTTGCATGGAATTACTCCTGTCCAGGGCATCACCAAGATTGAAGTCCTTGCTGTCTTGCAGCAGGTGGCAGTAGGTGGCGATCTCAGCTTCCAGCTTGACCTTGATGTTCAGCAGGGCCTCATACTCCTGGGCCTGGCGCTGCCCCTCTGCCCGGGTCTGTGCAGCTCCAACTCCACGTGCAGCAGGATCCTGTTGAGCTGCTCCATCTGCACAGCATAGCAGGCCTCCACCTCCCTCAGGCTGTTCTCTAAGCTGGACTTCAGATTTCTCATTGAGTCCAGGTCGATCTCCAAGGACTGGACTATATGTCTGAGCTTTGTGAGCATCACCTCAGCAGCTCCAACCTTGGCAGACTGTGTGGTGACCACTATGGTGCGCTCCTCAATCTGCTGAGAACAGTTCTTTTCTAGTTCCTCTTGGTTCTTCAGTCTTTGTATTGGGCCTGGATGTCTGCCATGATCTTGGTGAGGTCTTGAGATTTGGGGACATCTGCCTCCACGATCAACCTAGAGCTGGCAATCTGGGTTTGTAGGCCTTTTACGTCCTGTTCATAGTTCTTCCTCATGAAGAGGAGCTCCTCCTTGAGACCTCAATCTCTTGTCTCTAGCTGCAGCCAAGTGACATTGGTGTCATCAGTGACCTTGTGGAGCCCATGGATGTCGCTCTCCACAGACTGGCGCATGGCCAGCTCTGTCACATACTTGACTCCAAAGTCATCAGCAGCAAGACGTGCATTGTCGATTTGTAGAACGATGCAGGCATTGTCCACAGTATTTAATATCTGAGTCCTCAGGTCCTTGATGGTCTTGAAGTAATGGCCCCAGTCTGTGACCTGGGGTCCCTTCTTCTGGATTTTGCTCTCCAGCCCACGGTTCTCAGTCTCTAGGCTCCTCACTCTGTCCAAGTAGGAGGCCAGGCTTTGAACCAGTTAGGTTGAGGCTTGCATGATCTCCTTCTCATTCTGGATGCCTCCATTCCTGCCAGACTCTGGCCATCCCCATGGCCAGGCCTCTGCACCCCAAGTTGCCCTGGAAGCTGGTGGAGCGGAACATGGAGATCCAGGAGCCAGAGCCACCGGTGCCTGCACATACGCTGGTTGTGCTGATGACCAGCCAGGCACTTCAGCGGGGTTCCTGGATGGAACCCAGGGACCAGTAGTTGGTGGAGAAGGTGGAGCAAGTGGCGAAGCTCATGCTGTCCAGGGAGGAGAGCAAGATGATAGGACTCAGGCTTTGCTGACAACCACAATTAACTTTTCATCTCAGTGTACTGAGTTAATTCTGTTACAAAATGCATGGCAGATGCAATCATACCAAATTAATAAAGGACCAATTGAAAATTCTCATTGATGGATCCAATTAAAAGCTTTACCTGGGTTAAACTACCTACGGAAAACTTGGTTTAGAAATAATGCTGAAGAGTATAGAGTCCAGATCTGGTTTTGAATCAAAGAACTAGACACCTTTTCCAGCGACAACCAGAAATTGAAGACGTTTAGAATCAAGCCAAGACCAAGAATAAAGTCATACTGAAGAGAAGATATAAGATAGGGGAACCAGATGGGTGTTATTCCAGCTACATCTCTCAGTTATACCCTCATTAAGACATTTATGAAGAACCTTTAACTTGGCATTGATTTCAGAGAATGACTTGGTAAAGAAGTTGTGATTCCAGAATCCAAATTTAGTTTCAAAATCAAAGATCCAGAGTCTCTGCCCAGAGTAAAAGAGAACGTTAGAACTAAGGCAAGGCTAGGGACAAGACAAGATTTCCATGGTGAGAGGATTCAAGGTAAAGAAATTATACAAGACGGCACTAGCCTCACTAGCAGCTATCTTATTCCTTAGGACCCAGCACCGGGGCACAAAAGCAAGCTCATTGCATTTGATATCTTTACATGGGACCCAAGTCTGTCTTGCTCCAGTGTCTTACTCCTTTAAGTAAGGTTGACTGACAACAGTATTGGCATCATTTGGGAGCTTGTTAGAAATGCACTCTGCCTACTGAATAAGAATCTAATTTTAACAGCATCCCCAGGTAATTCAGATGCACGTTAAAGTTTGAGAAGCACTGCTGGAGGGCAACAGTGGGCATACTTTTTCTGAAAAGGGCCAGTGACTAAATACTTGGGGTTTGTGGGCCTTGTAGTTTCTGTGACAACCGCTCAATTATTGCCAGAGCAGCCATAGATAGGTAAATGATTGGATGTAGCTGTTTTCTAGTACAGCTTTACCAAAACAGTAATTGCTAAACCTCACCTTATGGGAAAATATCAAATTTTAGTTTTTTTTTTTATGAGAGTCTGTTTAGCAATTTGTGTCCATAGCTGTATTCATAAAAACCTTTTTTCCTACTGTTTTAGTTATCCCACTAGCTGATTACTATATCATTGCTGGAGTGATCTATCAGGCACCAGACTTGGGATCAGTTATAAACTCTAGAGTGGTAAGTGGTCTTCACATTCTTTAAACACTAAAGAAAACTTTTAACTAGCTACCTTGCTTCCAGTAATCAAATGAGCTCCTATGCCTTGTGTAAGTTGCTATAAAGTGTTGACTATTAGAATGTTTTGATCTGTGGTTACTGTGAGTCAAGTCAGTGCTCAAAGTGTATTTCATAGTTCCAATTGTATAGTAATTTAGGTTCTGAAAAACAGGTTCTGTCTTTGTGTATGTGACATTTTGTGAGTATTTACTTTGGAAATTTTGGTTGACCTAATGAGAAATTTAGGATTTGTTTTTCCTTTTACAAGCTTACTGCAGTGCATGGTATTCAGTCAGCTTTTGATGAAGCTATGTCATACTGTCGGTATCATCCTTCCAAAGGGTATTGGTGGCACTTCAAAGATCATGAAGAGCAAGGTAAGTAGAACACCCAGACCCTCCTAAAACACTTTTGATCCTCTGAGAATGAAGCTGTTTTCTTTAGGAAAATGGCTGTTGATCTTTTCTAGGTGTGTATCACTTTTTCGTGGGATGATGACTTTGTTGCAGCTGAGATTCATGTAAGTAGATATGGTAATCATAGCTTTCACACAGGAACAAATACAAGTTTAGTCTGTTAGGTAACTGGTAGTCTTTTTTAAGGTGATTCAAGGTTTTAAAATATTTGGGGCCAGGCGTGGTGGCTTGCTCTTGTAATCCCAGCGCTTAGTAATGCCAAGGCAAGGCAGATCACCTGAGCCCAGGAGTTCAAGATCATCCTAGGCAACATGGTGAAACCTGGCCTCTTAAAAAATAAAATAAAGACATAGGAGAGACAGTGATGGGGAATGAGCAAAGGTGATATTCCCTAGTTATCTGACTGTTGAGTTATCTTGGAATCTGGAACTTGTTATTTCTCTAGTCTTCAAAGCAGAGAAGGTGAGAGAGATTGCCTTTTAGAGCCCTGTCTCCAGACGGCCAGTCTGTTTTCTGATCCTTCCATCTCATCACCTCTTGTGGCTCAAGGTCCTCTAAGTTTCCATCAAATCTGCTACTGTGTTCATCCTATTTTACTGTTCAGCTACCTCCAGAAATGTGTCTCTAACAGCATACCTGAATTTTGGATTTCCTTTTCTGAGAAATAGCAACTCAGAATAAATTACTGAAGGAAACATGGCCTTTCTGTAGAATTCACACCTGTATTATCTTCTTAATAGTAGGTATAAGCAGCAACATTTGATAAAGGAAAGTTTGCCTTTGTTGACTAAAATTGGCCCAGTGGCTGTTTTCCCTTACCGTAACCAAATATTTGGAATAACACTTACGTGGAACCCTTTGCTTAGAGACAGTTTCCCAATACACCTCCCTCCCAAGGGCAAATCCCACGTGTGATTAACTTCAGAATTTCTCTTTCAGGTTCTTTTTTTTTTTGTCTACATGATTTTCTGTTTTGTTAATTTTTTTTTCTTTTTTTTTTTTTTTGGTGAATTACAGTCTTAATAATTGAATATGGTAGATTGAGTCTTTGAAGCCTGCATTTTTTTATTTGTTCTTAGTAGGTTTCATGGGAAAAGACCATTTAATACACTTAAAATATACAAAGGTAAGGCTGGGTGTGGTGGCTCACGCCTGTAATCCCAGCGCTTTGGGAGGCTGAGGTGGGCAGATCTTGAGGTCAGGAGTTCGAGACCAGCCTGGCCAACATGGTGAAACCCTGTTTCTATTTTGTAAAAATACAATATATTAACCAGGTGTGGTGGCAGGCATCTGTAATCCAGCTTCTTAGGAGGCTAAGGCAGGAGAATGGCTTGAGCCAAGGAGGCGGATGTTGCGGTGAGCCAAGACTCCACCACAGCATTGCAGCCTGCGCAATGAGACTCCATCTCAAAAAAAAAACAAAGACAATTTCAGACCAATAATTTGGATTGTGATCTTGGTAATTATGAAAAACTTGAGCTTTAAAACTCTTGTGTATGCTTATGTACCAAAACTGAAGTAGCTTTAAAAGATGTATATCACCTTAAATGGTAGAATTTAACTTCAGTTAAGAGGGAGAGTTACAACAGTTCTGTATATATGCTGTGTTTACCTGATTTGGGGAATTATCTTTGGTATAGCAGGTAATGAAGTTTATGTATATTTTGGTAGATAAAGATTTGTAAAATATGAGGTGAAGTTTGTGTATGTTCATGGTGGATAAAGATTTGTAAAATATGAGACACCAAACTAAGTAGGCAATGTTTTGATTCAGACTTCATATTTTAATAGATAAAGTCAGACCTAAAGCCAAAAGGAAAGAAGAACCAAGCTCTATTTTTCAGAGACAACGTGTGGATGCTCTACTTGTAGACCTCAGACAAAAATTTCCACCCAGATTTGTGCAGGTAATGAAAAATAAAATATGTGTGGTTAATCTTTACTTCTTTTGTATGGCATACATATTTATTTTTAATTGAGAACTGTTTCAGGTGTGACCTGAAGTTATTGATTTTCCTCATTAGTTAAAAAATCTCTGTATCAAAGGAAAGGTTTTGAAAGACCTAATGGAAGAAATGGGCAAATGGAATAGATTTAACACTGTTTTGTGTTTCTTACTGAATCTTCACAAACTTTGAGGACTGCATATCAATAATATTCTCATTAAAAAGGTTGCTGAAGGTGTCACAGGTGGTAACAAAACTAGAATATGAAACTCATGCTCTTTTTACTCTACATGCCGCCTTCCAGCCTAATGTAGTAGATATCCGAACATCCTAAATGATAGAATAACATAAAGAACAGAACATCTGAGGTAGAGTGTTTGGCATAATAAATAGAGGAGGCAGGAGTAATTAATAGAGGTATACCACATTGGGGCTTTAAGTTATACGAATTCCACTGTGTGATTTGGAGGGGCAGGGAGATTTCTAACAACAGTAGCAAATCCACCTGCCATTCTACTAAATGAGCTTTTGGAGTGAAGTAGGTATGTAACGTAATTGATGAATATGCTGTTCTCATGGCTAGTCTCAGTTCTTAAGGACCTTTACAGGGTGTACACACAAAATTATATGCCCTGTGTTTGTTAGGAGCTCTTTAAGGGATTTTCCAAGGGAAATTTTAAACTAAACAAAATTTTTCATGAGATGACTTTAGAACACGCCTCCCCTTCTCTCTTCCCTGACTCTGCTGTAGTGGAAGATGGGTGCTATGGGAATTGTGGTGTGGTGGTGAAGAGAGCAGAAGACACAAGATTGAACTCAGAACAGGAAAGCTAGTTTAGAGGAATCTCATGAATGGCACTTGAAGATGGAACATTGTCTGTTGAATAAATAAATAAATGAATTATAGCCGTGTGTAGGATGATGAGTGATATCTACAAAATATAAGAAGTCAGGGGTAGTTGAGCATTCATTTGGTGAGTACATAATGTATGCTAGGTAGGCCAGGGGAAGACAGCTAGACGTGCTGTCCAGTATGGTAGCCACGAGGCACATGTGACTATTAGCATTTGAAACACAGCTAGTCCAGAGATTGAGTTGTGATGTAAGAGCAGTATGCATACTGGATTTCAGACTTGTATGAAAAAGAATGTGTGTAAAATATCTCAGTAGTTTAAAAATATTGATTATATGTTGAAATAATATTTTAGATATATTTGGTTAAATAAATGTTTATTTTTAAAAAATGTGACAAGAAAATTTAAAAATACACATATAGCTTGCATTTGTGGCTCACAATTTCTTTTGAACAGTCCTGATCTAGAAAACGGTAGTAGAACGTGCAAAACCAGAAACATGAGTTAGTGAACATGTGTTCAGAAACCAGAAAAATCCTCTGAGGGTTTACTCTTTGTGTTTGTGAGGGGATGAGTAATGGAAAATGAGACTTAAAAGGTGGATTAAGGTCAGTTGAGAAGGATTTTGTATGCCATGCAAAGGAGTTGGGATTTAATCCTATAGGCCTGTGTTTCTTCTCTGTTTTAAACTTATAGCCCATTACCTCTCCTATAAACATAACAGGGCTCCGGATACATTCAGAGTTATTTGAAGTTTTTTTTTTTTTTTTTGAGATGGAGTTTCGCTCTTGTTACCCAGGCTGGAGTGCAATGGTGCGATCTCGGCTCACCGCAACCTCCGCCTCCTGGGCTCAGGCAATTCTCCTGCCTCAGCCTCCTCAGTAGCTGGGATTACAGGCATGTGCCACCATGCCCAGCTAAATTTTTTTTGTATTTTTAGTAGAGACGGGGTTTCACCATGTTGACCAGGATGGTCTTGATCTCTTGACATCGTGATCCACCCGCCTCGGCCTCCCAAAGTGCTGGGATTATAGGCTTGAGCCACCACGCCCGGCCCTATTTGAAGTTTTAAAACAATAGCTATCATAACCAAAGACCGACCAAACCAGGGGAAGTTTTGTATACTCTTTTTCAAGTATATGCTCTCTAAGAGTGTATTCTCACTGAAATCTCTGCTACCTCATCTTCAGGTGACTAGCTGAGAATTATTGCTGATGGCAATAAGGACCCATTAGATGTTTTAAAGTAGTTGGCAAGGGAGTAATGCAGTCAGTTTTGTGTTTTATGACAATATGGTGGGGGATGTTTAGGAAATCACATGTAAAGTTTGGATTCAGGGCACTTAGATTGTGGAAAGCTTGAATTAATTCTGTGGCCATAGGATAGAGAGGAGACAGATTTAGGAGGTAATTTCAGAGTTAGGATTGCTTTAATTTGGTGGTTAGATTTTGAGAAATTGGACAAAGGGTGATTTTGGGGTTTCAGGCCTAGAATTACATTGGTATTGTTAACTAAAATTCAGAATACAGGGGAAAACACAGATTTTGGTTTGAGTACAGTTGTTAGGGGTTTGGTTTTCATTGACCAACCTACAGAACATTGAGTAGTTTCCCATTATATTTGAGTTCTGAGGAACTCCAGGGAAAGACAATTTTTTTTTTTTTCCTGGCTAGGGATGCTGCCTTGAATCTTACTTGCTGTTCTATCCTGGTGAGCTAGGCTAGACATTGTAGAGAAAGCTCAAAGACTCTCTTGATTCTTAAAATAAAAACCCGTGGCCGGGCATGGTGGCTCATGCCTGTAATCCCAGCATTTTGAGGCTGAGGCAGGCTGATCACGAGGTCAAGAGATCAAGACCATCCTGGCCAACATGGTGAAACCCCGTCTCTACTAAACATACAAAAATTAGTCAGGCATGGTGGCATGCATCTGTAGTTCCAGCTACTCAGGAGGCTGAGGCAAGAGATTCGCTTGAACTTGGAATGCAGAGGTTACAGTGAGCTGAGACCGTGCCACTGCACTCCAGCCTGGGTGACAGAGTGAGACTCTATCTCAGGAAAAAATAAAATATAAAAACAAAAACCTCTTTAGAAAAGCACAGTAATTTTAAAAACATGAAAGCAGAGAGAATAATTAAAAATGAAACCCCATATACCCTTTAGCCTGCCTCAACAGTTATCAAAAATGGCCAAGCTTATTTTATCTCTTCTTCCCCTACTTTCTCCCAGTTATTTTTAAGCAGACCGTAAACTTCGTATCATTTCGGTGAGTTTTTTACCTTTTTCCTTTAAAGGTTCAGCCACATTCATACTTACATCATCATATTCCTGAACTCCACATTTCTTTGACCATCCAAGGGCCGAAAACCAACTGCCAAAGATAAGAGTATGTTCAGCTCTGTGTAACATAGCTAGGAGAAAGATGGCTTTCTCTAGAACTATTAATAATCTTTTTTGCTTTTCCTACCAAATTTTTTCTAGCCTCAGATCTAGAGAAAAAAAATGATCTACTTGAAGTCTCCCAGAACTTCTTTTAGCTCATAGGAACTCTTCTTTTCTTTACACATTGTGTCCTCCAGAACTGTATTTACTTTGGATAAGGACACAGAAGGTATTCCTACTTACCGATTTTATTGAGCAGTTGGGCTTGTGGTACCCAGGGATGTTGCCCCTGGAAGGGGATGTTCAGGAGAATATTTGAGAAGTCCTGCCTGCTTCTTTGAAGCTCCTTTTTTCATATTTTAATTGTCGTTACCGCTGGAAGTTACGCTAATACCGATGTGATGAGAGTTTTGGTCCTCAGAGCCTTTTATGGGGACTTTTTTATTGCTGTTTTTAGAAGCTGCTAGAATACCATACGCTATTACTTCAACTAGGATTATCTAAACCAAAGCCATCTGATTAAATTTGCTCCAAGAGGCACCCTTGCTATATATCCCCGTCTCAAACCATGTTCTACTAATCTGACAGGATTTATTGGAAAAGATTACACAGTGTATTATGTTGGGTAAATAATGATATTATTCCAATGTCCAAATATAGTTCAATGTCCAGTATAGCTTAAATGATTCAGTGCTGGCAGTACAAAAATTCCCCCTTTGAATTTTTTTACTCTCCTCAGTGTTCCTCCCTGTATTTCCTTTCCTATTTTAAAGAAAAATGATTTGTTTCCTCAGAATTACTTTGGCCATGTTTAAGTACTGATATTTTCACAAGGTAATGTGATACATGGCTTTGTTGGGGGTTCTCATGATGACTCCCATATTTGGAGATTGCTAGCAGGACTCAAAGGACTCGGCATGTAGTTGTACTCAGAGCTAAGATTTATTGCTATAATGCGGTAAACATATATGGCCAGATCATAAGGGAAAAAGACACAGCAGAGTCTGGAAGAATCCATGTACAGGCTTCCTTATACTTCCTCCTTCCCTTAAGAGATTACACAGAGTGCACTCTTTTCTCAACAGTGAAAATGCAGCAATGTATGCGTGATATTTCTGCCCAGGGAAGTACATTAGAGACCCGGTACCCAAGGCGCTTTTATGGAGTTGGGGGGTGAGGCTCTTCATGTAGGTACCCTCTACCTAGCACATACCAAAATTTCACAGCCTCTGAAGAAAGCAGGTCTTTAGCCTAAATCACATTTTTTGTAGTGTCTAAGCACAGTGAGTCACTGTTATCAGGGAATGGTGGGAAACCTCCAAAAATCCAAAGTTACTAGACACTAGCCAAGGGCCAGCTTTTTGAGCAGGCTTTTCTAAGTATAGCAGCCTCAGGCCTTCTATGGTAACCCTTTTATTGCACAGTGGGTAATAATATGAAGCTCAGTTTTGGTCTTGTTAAGTGTAAAGTTTCCCAGGACTTGCAGTTGGAGTAGGATAGTTGGCAGTTGGCAGCAAGAACCTGGAATGTGTAATATCAGAAAATTTTGTAGTTATTAGGAATGGCAATAGGTAAGAAGGCTTAGGAAGGGCATGTAAATCCAAAAAGATTCAGCAAACAGATGGAGGCATTAGAAGTGGAATGAGAGAACTTTTTTCTTCTCAGATGATATGGAAGTAATAAGGTGTTTTAAGTGTGTGTGTATGTGTGTGTGTTTATAAAATTATAATACGTTTAAAGGTAGGTGGTAAGGAAGTTGGTGGTGTTGGCATTCTAGTTTTTTGTTGTTGTTGTTTTTAAACATGGGAGACAGTGTCATCGGATGAGAATGAGGGGGTAGGTTGTGAACCTTGAATAAGGAGACTAGATTGTTTTAGAGCATTTAACTTGGAGAATGGGGCAAAGGAGATGACAGCTTAATCAACTGAAAGAATTGCTGTACAGAGTGAAGGATCTGACCTTGTTTCTGACCTCTAATGCTCTTATCTTTTTTTTTTCTATAGACTGGTTTTTAATAATACACTCATCAGAAATCTCTTTTCCCTCCAAATTTCCCTTGCCTGCCAACTTTAAAAGTCCTGGTTCATCCATACTTCATTCTCCCTTCCCGTAATTCATATCCCCAAAGAAAATAAGACTTCAGAGTATTGAAAGACTTCATTATTTCTTCCCATTGGATTCTACTGAATTGCTTTTTATAAAGCATTGTAGCCTGGGTCCACACATGGCTACAATGTTAAAAGTTCAAATGTTTTTATGGTTGGTTGACTATCTTGTTCTAGTTTTTGATTTGTGTCTTTTCTGGAATGGGAAATAAGTAGAAAATGATAAATTTATAGTATCTAAATAGAAGTTTTTCTTCACAAAGTCATTTGAAATGTAATTTGGATGAAGTTTTCATTGTATTAATATGAAATCAAGAAGAAGAAACTTTGCCAATCTGACCTGTTTTCTTCTTTTTCCTCTTCCTCTCCCTTCCTGTTTTCTAAAAATCATAGCAAAAGTCTGGAGAAAAGCCTGTTCCAGGTATGGTTCATCTAATATTCTTATTAAGCTGGAAATAAGATCGAACAGCCTGTAAATCAGTAACAGCTACAGCATATGAAATGAGCTATGGTCATTTTGTCCTTCTAGAGCAGGGGTATCCAATCTTTTGGCTTCCCAGGGCCTCATTGGAAGGAGAATTGTCTTGGGCCACACATAAAATAACACTAATGATAGCGGATGAGCTAAAACAAGCAAAAGTCGTAGTATTTTAAGAAAGTTTACAAATTGCAGTTGGGCCGCATTCAAAGCCATCCTGGGCCACAGGTGGAACAATCTTGTTCTAGAGTTTCTCATTGTAATTTTTTACTCCTAATCTTTGAGATCTGCTCAACTGTCAGCAGGTGGTGCCATTGTGGTAGTGTTTGTGGTAGTGAAAAGATGAATGGGGAGGGAAAGAGTAGGTATTGAGGTGTGAGGAAGCCAATATTTTTTCCATCAAATCTTTGTGTATTTTTACACAGTGATGTTTTCTGTTACATTATTGAAAATAGGCATTGAAACATCCTGGTACTGGGTTAGAATAATTATATATCTTGTTTTTAAGTACCGTCTTACTTAAATGCTATGTAATTTTGTCTATTATTACTAATTTCCTTTAGTTATCAGGTTGTTAGGTTTGTAACTAGGTTCTTGTGTACAACTGCCTGGGGAAATAGCTAGATCTAGAACTTGAGATAAGCAATTAAAAATGAATTTGAAATGTGAATCATTCATATTAACCATTGTTTGAATTTTTTCTCATCCCTCCATCCATATCCCCCTTCCAAAAAAATCTACTTTTGATATCTAGTGGATCAGACAAAGAAAGAGGCAGAACCTGTACCAGAAACTGTAAAATCTGAGGAGAAGGAAACCACAAAGAATGTACAACAGACAGTGAGTGCTAAAGCCCCCCCGGAAAAACGGATGAGACTTCAGTGAGTATTAGACAAGAGAGAAGCCTGCAAAACTCCTCATGCCAGTTGTTGTACCTCAGTACTGTGGCTCTTGAGCTTTAAGGTACTTTATTGGAATCATCTTATTTGTGTGGAATGCACTTATTCTTTAAGAAAGGGTATTAGGCCGTGTGCAGTAGTTCATGCCTGTAATCCCAGCACTTTGGGAGGCCGAGGTGGATGGATCATCTGAGGTCAGGAGTTTGAGACCAGCCTAACCAATATAGCGAAACCCTGTCTCTACTAAGAATACAAAAAGTAGCTGGGCATGGTGGTGGGCGCCTGTGGTCCCAGCTACTCAGGAGGCTGAGACAAGAGAATTGCTTGAATCTGGGAGGCGGAAGTTGGAGTGAGCCGAGAATCACGTCATTGCACTCCAGCCTGGGCGACAGATCGAGACTTCATCTCAAAGAGAAAGGATATTATTCCCATCATGATTTCTAGTGAATATTTGTTATATATCTTCTGTAACCTTTTCTCTCCTGGACTTGTGCAGCCTACCCACTCACATGTTTACTGGTAGATATGTTTAAAAGCAAAATAAAGATATTTGTATATATTGCTTCATTATGACTTTTTTCTTTGTCCTGCCTGATATTTTTCAGATGCATTTTGAAGACACAAGGGATGTGAAAGTAGTAACTAAGCATATTTCCCTTTGTTAGTTATATATTCCTCAGTATTTAGTTACTGACATTTTGAAAGATGACAAAAAGGAAAAACCTCACTCACCAATACCATTACCCTATAAATACTGTAACAGTGTTGTGAATTTTAATCTTACTCTGTGTGTAGATAATTTTTTTTCAGTAAAGACAAGGACTGTATTTTTTGTTAACAGCTATAGAGGCTGAGAAGTCCATCATTGAGTGGCTCCATCTGGTGAGGGCCTTCTTGCTGGTAGGAAGTCTGCAGAGTCCCTAGGCAGCACAGGGTATCTCATGACAAGGGGGCTGAGTGTGCTTGCTGCATGTAGGTGCGTTTAAAACTGTACTTTAATCATTGCTTTCATACAGTTTTACTTTATTGTATCTATTGTAAGCTTTTTCCCATGTTTACATAGTTTTTATAGACTGTTTTAGTGTCTGAATGATTATATCTCAGTTTTCTTTCTGTGTTACACTTGGGATTTTTCCCAGTTTACATTGTTTTAAATAAGACCGCAGTGATTATATCTTTGTATAATGCCTTTTCAATATTTGGTATTTATTTATTTAGGATAGAGTTCCAGATGTGATACCACTGAGTGTCTGCATTTTTATTGCTCTTAGTCCATATTGCTAAGTTGTCCCTCAGAAGGTTGGACTAGTCATCAAAGTATGAAATATGTACCAGGTTTTCCAGAATTGCTACCACTGAATTTTGTCACTTAAGTTTTTTGTGTTAAGTAGCAAAAGTGATGTTTTAGTATTTAAAGTGGTTGAACAATTTTTCATCTTTGTTTTCTGCTTTTATGAAATGTCTGATTTTATGTATTATGAGAGATTTTTGTCTTTGAACTTTTTATCTTGACATAATTTCAGGCATACAGGAAAGTTGTAAGAATAGTACAAAGAATTCCTAAATATACCTTTTACCCAAGTTCTCCATCTGTTAATATTTTTCTGTGTTTTAGTCTTTCCTTTTCTTTCTCTCTTCTGTCTCTAAGTCTTGCTCTCCTGTCACTTGCTGTTTCTCTCTTTCCCCCCTCTCTATCTTATTCACGTTTCACCAGAGGTGTCAATAATGTCATTTACATCAGAAGAAAATTCTGAGTTATGGGTTGCATTTAGTTGTTGTCTTTTCAGTCTCCTGTAACTTGGAATAGTTCTTTAATCTTGCTTCTTTTTCATAACCTTGATATTTGAAGAGTTGAAGCCATTCATTTTGTAGAACGTCTCTCAATTTGGGTGTGTGTGATACATTCTCATGATGAAATTCACCTCATGCATATTTGTGAGGAATGCCATAGAAAAGATGCTTATGGAGGCACATGCTGTCAATTTGCTCCTTTTCTGGTGATGTTGACGTTGATCACTTGGTTAAGATAGTGTCTGTAAGGTGACTCCACTGTAAAAGTTTTTTCCTTTTGTAAGTTATGAGTATATTGTGGGGAATATTTTGAGCCTCTGAGTATCTTCTTGTTATTTTTCAAACTTTTACCCACTGGCTAGCCTCCATTGATAAGTCTTGCCTGAATCGTTTATGACTCTGATTGTTGCCAAAATGGTGATTTTCTGATTCATTGTTCTGTTATTAGTTAGCTTTCTGCTATAAATAAGAACTTTCATTTTGCCACCCCCTGTTTTAAAAATATCATTGTGGACTCCTGGATTCTTATTTTATTCAATGGGTACATTTCTTTACTGTCATTCATATTGATGCCCAGATTATCCTAAATTGGGCCAGTGGGAGCCCTTTCAAGCTGATCCTGTGTCCTTTTGATATGACTTCATACATTGAGTGTTTTCTTTCCTCTTTAGCACAAGAAGATATTCCAGGCTTATTTCAACCCTGGAGCCAGGCACTTCTATTTCTTTGAGTGGAGAATAGCATTTGGAAGTCAAGGTCTGTGTGCTGGGTGTGTTCATTGCTACCAGGGTGTCATTGCTTCTAGGCCCTTACAACTGACAGTCAGGAAATAGATATATACCTATGTATGTGAGTGAATACACATACATCCATACACATCCATGTCTATCTGTCTGTGTATTCTACCTATATTAAAAGCTACCATCAGTTCATACTGATACCTCCAATTTTAGTCCATCACCACAAAGTTCACCTTGTTCTCTTCCATATTGGCAAATCTGTGTTGATGACTATTCTGGTTCCCATTATCCACAATGTATTAATTTATTTGCCTAATCCTAGAATAACAACATAGGATTTGTTGTTGTTGTTGTTGTTTTTGGGAGACAGGGTCTCACTCTATTGCTTAGGTTGGAGTGCAGTAGCACAGTCACAGCTCACTGCAACTTTGAACTCTTGGACTCGAGTGATCCTCCCACCACAGTCTCCTGAGTAGCTGGAACAATTGGTGTATACCACCATGCCTGGCTAATTTTAAAACGTTTTTGTGGAGACTGAGTCTTGCTTCGTTGCTCAGGCTGGTCTCAAACTCCTGGACTCAAGCCATCTTCCCACCTCAGCCACCAAAAATGCTGGGATTATAGGCATAAGCCACTGCACTTGGCCAACAGTGAAGTTTTGAAATTGCAGAGGAACCTATACTTTTGCAAAAAGGAGACCTGTAGGCCAGGCACAGTGGCTCACACCTGTAATCCCAGCATTTTGGGAAGCCAAGATGGGTGGATCACTTGAGGTCAAGCATTTGAGACCAGTCTGGCCAGCATGGTGAAACCCAGTCTCTACTAAAAATACAAAAATTAGCCAGGTGTGGTGGCATGGGCCTGTAGTCCCAGTTAACGCTAGGCTGAGGCAGAAGAATCACTTGAACCCAGGAGGCAGAGGTTGTTTGCAGTGAGCCAAGATCACGCCACTGCACTCCAGCCTGGGCAACAGAGCGAGACTCCATCTCAAAAAAAAAAAAAAAAAACAGACAAAAAACACCCTTATTTAGTTCAGTATTTGCTTGAGTCCTGGTCTTTAGCCTCAGGACACATAGTTCAGTACTGTGTTAAAAAATTACTTAGGCTGGGTTAATTCTTTTTCCTTTTTCAGTGTGGTTATGCTACTCATTTAATAGATGGTTCAGCTTATTTGTTTTTATTTTGAATTCTATTTTGCTTCCCCCCCCCCCATTCTTAATGATTTCTTTTTGTCTTTTATTTTGGGGTATATGAAATGTTAACATGGTTTCAAATGTCAGTACTGTCTGAAAGTTTCTCTCCACACCTATCCATTACTTCTTTCCATCCATTTTAATTTACCTTCTTAAGGTAATCTATTCTCTAGTTTACTGCCATTTTCCCCCTACAAATGAGTAGATATTTTATTCTCTTATATAAAAGACAGCATATTATATAAGCTTTTTAACTTTGCTTAATTTGCTTTTTAAGTATTTTTTATTTTTTCTAGCAAAGCTCCTTTTCTTTCAACTGCACTGTAAATTACCACATATAGAACAGTACACACAGTAATGGAGTAAAAGTCATTGTAACCGTATAACTTATGTGCGTTAAGAAATTGAACTTTGCTAGTATCCCAAAAACTCCTTTATGTTGCCTTCTAATTTTAACGCTTAATCAGCTTCATTCTCAGTTTATGATAATCATTTGTTGTCTTTACAGTTAAACTCTGTAACCATGCATCCCTAAAATGTTTAGATTGCCTATTTTTAAAATTTAATATAATTGGTTCAGTGTGTGCATTTAATATATGGCTTCTTTTTTATCTGAAAAGTTCATCAAAGTTGTTTCATTTGTAGCTATTTTAATTTCTGTGTAGTATTATATTGCATAAATATATTACAACTTTAGAGTTCATTCTAATGGTGATAGACATTTGTATTGTTCATAGTTGTGGGCTATTAAAATTGCTTTTGTGAATACTCTATTTTTATGAACTTCTAATATGAGATTTCAGGAATATTCTAGTTTTATGAATATTATATTGCTTTTTGGTATGCGTTATGGGCTGAATTGTGTCCTCCTCTTCTCCAAACAAGGTATATAGAAATCTTAACCCCCAGTACCTTAGAATGTAACCTCATTTGAAAACAGGGTTTGCAGATGTTATAGGTTAAGATGAGGCCATACTGGAGTAGGGTGGGCCTCTTATCCGATATGACTGGTGTCTTTATAAAAAGAAAACTGTGTGAAGAGACAAAAACAGAATGCCATGTGAAGATGGAGGATCATAGTAATGCATCTGCAAGCCAAGGTATGCCACGTGGCCAGTCACCAGAAGCTAAGAGGCAAAGAAGGATTCCCCTACAGGTTTCGCAGGAAGCATAGCCCTTAGTCCTGCCGACCCTCTGATTTTGGATTTTCAACCTCCAGAATTTTGAGACAATACATTTGTTGTTTAAGCTAATTTTACTGTTTTATTCAAATTGTTGGCTCAGAACTTATTTACTGACACTGAGGAAGGAAAATAGGGTCTGGAGGCTGGGAACATAAGGCTGAGTCACACTTCAGCTATAACAGGAAATATCCTCTCCGTAGGGTATGCACCATAAATGACTTTGTAGCTTTACTTCATCCTCTCCATGTACATAGGGCATACCCAAAGCAACCAATGGAATACTCTAGGGGGTATTTAAACTCCCAAAAATTCTGTCATGGGGCCTTTGAGCCTCTATGCTCAGGCCCACTCCCGCACTGTAGAGTGTACTTTTTATTTTCAGTAAGTCCCTTCATTTCTTCCTTGCTCTGTTTGTACATTTTGTCCAATTTTTTCAGGATGCCAAGAACCTGGACACCCTCAACCATTAACAAAACTTTGTACTCCTTGATCAATATCTTCCCGTTTCCTCCTACCCCCAGCTCCTAGCAACCACTATTTTATTCTCTGCTTCTGTGAGTCTGTTTTAGATTCCACCTGTAAGGATCAAGCAGTATTTGTCTTTCTACATCTGGCTTATTTCATTTAGTGTAATATCCTCCAGGTTTGTCTATGTTGTTGCAAATGGCAGGACTTTTTTCTTTGTGAAGGCTGAATAATATCCCTTGTGTGTGTGTGTGTGTGTATCACAATTTATATGTTCATCTGTTGACAGACGTTTAGGTTGTTTCCATATCTTGGCTATTGTGAATAATGCTGCAGTGAACATGAGAGTGCAGTTCTCTCTTTATCCTGATTTCGGTTCCTTTGGATATATATTTATAAGTTGAATTGTTCATTGTTCTAGGTAGTAGGTAGTTCTATTTTTAATTTTTTATGGACTCTCCATACTGTTTTAAGGACTCTCCATGCTATACCAATTTACGTTCCCACCAACAGTGTACAAGGGTTCCATATCTCTACATCCACACCAACACTTGTGATATTTTATTTTCCTGATAGTAGCCATTCTAAAAGATATTCATTTTATTTGTGGCTATTGTAAGTGGTATTGCTTTTTGATTTCATTTTCAAATTGTTCACTGTTAGCATATAGAAATGCTACCAATTTTTGTATCCTGCAACTTTACTAAATTTATCAGTTCTAATAGTTTTTTGGTGAAGTCTTTAGGTTTTTCCAAATATAAATCATCTGCAAACAAGAATGATTTGTCTTCCTTCTTTTCAGTTTGGATGCTCTTTACTTCTTTCTCTTGTCTGATTGCTCTAGCTAGGACTTCCAATACAATGCTGAGTAACAGTGGTGGAGTGAGCATCCTTGTCATGTTCCACATCTTAAAGGAAAGCCTTTCAGTTTTTCCCATTCATGATACTAGCTGTAGGTCTGTTGTATATGGTTTTTATTATGTTGAGGTATGTTCCTTCTATACCAATTTTTTTTTCTTTTTATCATGAAGGGATGTTGAATTTCATCAAATGCCTTTTCAGCATTAGTTGAAATGATCACATGGTTTTTGTCCTTCATACTGTTGATATTATGTACCTCATTGATTGATTTACATATGTTGAACCATCCTTACATCCCTGGGATGAATCCTGC